CATCACAAATTCAGTTCATGAATGATCTTAATTTTTGATTGGCTCACAAAGAAATTTACCAACTGCACCCCTGACTACTTTAGTGGACCACAGCGTATAAATTATTTCTTGCCAAAACATTATCATTATCTAAATACTCCAGAAATTTGGATATTTCATGCTCGAGACTGTAATTTCGAACTTGTATCTAAGTGGTATTTTTCACGCTCACCTTTGAACTGGCTAGTGTAAACAGCACCAATCCAGTACTGTTTTTGGAGTCAAGTTGTATTTTATCCTACACCACAGACCTTAACTCTAGCAGAAAGCCAATCAGTGAACAGCAATGATTAAAAGACAGTGATCTTGGCGCAATTAAGCACTGCTTTCATCTGTTAATCAGCGTAATACATGCCTCACTTACGATTACGGGGTAGAAAGAAATGTAGTTACGGTTTCAACTTGATTAATGCTAATTAACTTATTGATTTTGTATGTTTAAACTTCACGTGTTTAAATAATTAATTTTTAGTCATGTAAGAGTTATTTAATAGAAGTCAATGATCCAATCTTAAAAGCAATTAAATTTTAATCACCTCAATGTGAGATGCTAAGTTTAACACAAAAGCTAAATAAGATCATTTTCAATGAATAGTAGATGTTAATCTGTTAAAACTGTCACTTTGAAAAAAGTGTTGTTGTTTTTTTTTTTTATTATACAAATTAGTATTACTGGTCATTTTTGGGAAGCAGTGGTTTTACTGACTGTAACTAAGCTACTCAAGTTTGTTATTAGATATGTTCACTACGATTCATGTTAAGCCTTTAAAAGCACGATATTTCAACTTTTTTTTATATCAAATATTGATATGCAATGACCACTTGTATAACAGAATAGACTGGTAAGTTAGCATATTTTGCACAAAATGACTTGAGCTAACAGAACTGACTTAGACTCTACTGATCATACTTGAGTTGTTCAAATGTAAACTATAACAGCAAATAGAAGTTGGTATTTAATGATAGTGTTCATATATATACACCAAAAATAGTAGCTTTAAATGAAAAATTTATGTCTTGACAATAAAGCTTCTACACTAAACCCTTCTTTCAATACAAAGATCTAATACCAACATGGCTCTTGTATAAGTAAAGGTTAACGCCAACATATCATGTATCCTTATTATTGAGGGAAATTGTAAACTTAAGTATTTTTATAACATCGTGAATGAAATTATAATGTTATTTTACATTGAGGGAAATTTTTCATATATACATACATATAGTTTTTGCTAAATTTTAAATGGATGCGTATGTGTATATATATAAATTTGATAATTTCAGTAACTTTTATATCCATGCAGTTACATTGTTTCACTTTTTTGTCACTTTCCTCTTAAGATTTTAAAATTTTTACTATTTATTAACATTGAACTGTTAAATGTTTTGCTTTGTGCGTTTTATATGTAAACCTTTAACATAATCAAGTGTTCTGTTTATCAACAGCCTGATAGCCCCTATCAAGGTGGAGTTTTTTTCCTGACTATACATTTCCCCACTGATTACCCCTTTAAACCACCAAAGGTAAGAAAGCCCTCTGTAAAACTGGAAGTATAAATTTGGATTGCGACTTTATTCTGTTCTTTAACACTTTTGTGGTTTTATTTTGTGTAACCAGAAGTATGTTATGTTTAGTTATAACTCTTGTGTGAAATGTTTACACTTATATCCTGTTTACATTATAAGCAACTAAATTTTTGGACTACTTTATAGAGTAGAAGAGTTTACATATTCTGCATTACCCGATTGGTCAAAAAGTGAGGGTTGGAGTTTTGTAAAAACACAATTCTTCCTTCAGCCAGCTTTGTTCACTAAACTTCCCACTTCATCATAAAATAAAAACAATTTTCAAGTACACTTTCAAAAATTTATTAAGAATGTTGTACTTAAATTAAAAATGACTCAAACTATGAGCATTACACACACATTGACAAGTGGCTTGTGTATATTAGACCAGTTACTTGGGGGTAGTAATAAACAACTTTAGGCAGTAGGAGTCTAAGGCCTTGCTAACATATTCTTGTCAACCAAGATTTATCACTAAGCATGGTAGTGCTTTGTATGTAAGGATGGCCCAAGAAAAAATTAGCCACAGCATTCAGTCTATGAAGCTTACAAATAACTGCTAAAGTTATGTTACAGCTTTATTTGAGCACCTAATTGCCATTATCGATAATATTATTATGTTCTTCTATCACGAATATTTTTGTGTGGAAATAATAAAAAGGAAAACTGCTAATTCGTTGCAACTGTAAAGGGGTCTTATTCTCCTGAAGAAGAATAGTCAACTATTCGAAAGCGCTTGAGTTTTGGGTCTTATTTTAAGTCTATGGTCATTTATTGATATCTTGTATTAGTTTGTTTTTTTTATGCGTGTTAAGTAGACACAAAGAGGTGTTGTGGCTTTGCATTCTGGTACAGTCATTAGTTACACTACGTGCATGTTGAATAAGCTTTTACCTTTACCATTATTTTCTATTTGGTTGTTTGAAAAGGGGAATTCCAAATGATTCGTACATGTTTCGTATCTTGCATCTAATCATTTATTCAGTTGTGGTTGTGCTTTGGCAAGGAAATTGATATTTGATGGAACTATTACTTCTCTCAACAGTTAAAATTTAGTCAATGCTGCTGTAAATGAAGTAACAAGTTGTTAGCTTTTGATGCTTAATAAAATTAATTCAAGACTCGTAACTATTGTTTGGCTGTGTAATGGTGAATGTAGGCTTAATTTCTTAATATTGAACTCTGTAATTTGTTTGGTATAACAAGTTCTTTTTTTCTAATAATTCTGGCCATCAGGTTGCTTTCACAACAAGAATCTATCACCCAAATATCAATAGTAATGGAAGTATCTGTTTAGATATTCTTCGTTCACAGTGGTCACCAGCACTTACAATATCGAAAGGTGAGTTTTCTTTATGCTTTATAGTAATCTTTCTAGTATTGTGTACAGCCATTAGAATGGTATCTTTCAGAATTGGAGTTTTACTTCTCCATCTGGAAACACTTAATTTTCGTATGTAAATTCAACATGTGCTATGAAACCTAGAACATCCTTAAGACTAGAGCAACTATAATAGTATAAGAAGGACATTGCTGCTTGTAAAAGCAAATGAAACCCTGTTTTCCAGCTACTTTCAAAATTTTGGTAATCTCTGAAAAAAAAACAAGATTGACTCCTAGACTTCTGTAATAGTTTCATGCTGTAATATTTCTGTAAGGGAAATTCTGTATATGTGATAGTTGGGATTATTGTTCATCTGATGTTTGACTCTCAGACTTCTGTAATAGTTTCATGCTGTAATATTTCTGTCAGGGAAATTCTGTATGTGTGATAGTCAAACAACAGATGAACAATAATCCCAACTCCCCAGACTTCTGTAATAGTTTCATGCTGTAATATTTCTGTCAGGAAAATTCTGTATGTGTGATAGTTGGGATTATTGTTCATCTGATGTTTGACTCTCAGACTTCTGTAATAGTTTCATGCTGTAATATTTCCATCAGGGAAATTCTGTATGTGTGATAGTTGGGATTATTGTTCATCTGTTGTTTGACTCTCAGACTTCTGTAATAGTTTCATGCTGTGATATTTCTGTCGGGAAAATTCTGTATGTGTGATAGTTGGGATTATTGTTCATCTGATGTTTGACTCCCAGACTTCTGTAATATTTCTGTCAGGGAAATTGTGTATGTGTGTTAGTTGGTATTATTGTTCATCTGATGACTGTCTAATAGATTTCCTTCTTTTCCATCAGTGTTATTGTCTATCTGCTCCTTGTTGTGTGATCCAAACCCAGATGATCCTCTGGTGCCAGAAATCGCCAAGATTTACAAGACCGATCGAGAGAAGTATAATGAACTTGCACGAGAATGGACCAGAAAATATGCTATGTGACATAGTGGTGGATAATTAGTATTTCTTTGTTATATATATGTTTGTTTTCTAATTAGAGGGGGGAGAAGGGTTATAAGTTTATTTACTTCCTATCAACGGGCATGAAATCCAAAATGTAAATGTTTCAATTTTATTTCAGAATTGCATTATTCAGAAGTTAAAATAATTAAAATAACTGTTCATGAAATTGGATTATCATTATTTATTGCATAAATATTTTGTTAATTCAAGCTGGCTGTCCATCATATTACTAAGGAAGTAGAGATATTCAGAACTAAAGGTCAAGCCAGCTGGAGTGTAGTTAAAGAACAAGTTCACCAGAGGTCAGATTGTGCACATGATTGAAATCATTCATGATGTAATAAACAATGTACATTTTTTTTTTTATTTTGTGTTGGTGTGTAAATAAATCTTTTTACATTCATGAAGAGTGACCTTTCAGAGTTTTTTACAAATATATTACATGTTGTATTCCTTGTAAAGTTGTAATTATTACACACACTGGTAGTTTGAGATAGTACCTTTTTTTTTTAACTCTTTATGTTAAATAAAATACCTAAACACACAGTGTAGATACGTATAGAAAATTCATGTATGGTTCAATAAGTTTATAACAACTTTAATTAGCAGCCAATTTAAAAAAAAATGAAGCCTGTTAAGTATTTCAAAAACAATATAATTCTGTTACCAAAGTTATTAAAATAATATCCGTATTGAGAAATGTGTATAGTAAAAGAAAACCTGGTTTATTATTCATAAATTTGAAAAAAGGTTGTTCGAAATTATTTGATAATAATAAAAGTTTTGTTATTTTCCAGATTTTAAGCAGTTTTGTGGAAAGTGAAACATAAGTAAAACCATCTTTTATCAATTAATAAAATAGGTATGGTGCTGGTTGTAAAAACAAAGGTAAATAAAGAAGAAAATAACTTTTTTTTTTCAACAAGTTTACAAAATATTTTTGGAGGTTTTGGCGTAATGGTTTTCCCAGTTTAGTTCATTAGCAAATAGGGATAATTGTACTAAGTTTAAAATGTATGTTGTTATTAAAACGTGAGAGATTAATGGAGGTAATAAAATTTTTTTTTGTTTTGGCTGTAACTGAGATTATACTGGATTTTGTCAAGTTTTTATTCAAAAGTTAAGTGAATTTGCATTTTTAGCTCAGTACAATATTGTATCAGTTACCTATGTTTGTGTTTACTTGTGGCTACTCCCCTGGTGCGTTAGTAAGTTTAAGGACTTTTTTTTTACAACCCTAAAATCTAGGGTCCGATTCTCCTGTCGTGGAACAAGCACAGATAGTTCATTGTGTATCTTTGTGCTAAAACAAGCATGCATGTGGCTAGTGGTTACGGGAATGGTATACTGAACAGTTATGTGGTCACCACTTGTGACAGATTTTATTTTACTCTGATATCTCTTGAATTGTAAGAATATATATATATTTCAAAATGTGTACCCTGGCATTATGGTGCAGCCATCTTGTGATCATGCCTTAACTGCAAATTAATGTTTCATAGGATTCAGCAATCGATTAGCACTGATAGAGAATGGGCTTTAAAAACAGTTTCAATCTAGCTTTATTTTTAAATTGCCATGCAAAGAGCCCCAAATGGTAAATGATGTCGCACAACCTTAACTTTAGTTGTGTACTACATGTTGATGTTACAAGATTCACTAGGGATGTAATCACTGGTAGGGTTTATAGTTCAAAATTTGCAATGTGATAATAAAGTATCTTTAAAGAAATTTTTTTACAATTATTAAATCCATCAAGGCATGATACACCTTCTATTATTATTTTAGAATTTGTGTCTACAAAGAAATAATTACATTATAATTGTTATTTGGGTGTTGGAATACCTTGCTTTTTAATACTGATCAAAACAAAAATCAAAGTTTAAAGTTCATTCTTTCAATGTTTTATATGCAAACCACATATACAATGACCAGCCAATATTTTAATACTTGCTTACTGTTGACTTGGACAAACTTTTTCCACAATAATATAGGTTTATGGTAGCAAACATGACATTTATGCTCATCCCAAAAATGCTTAATCATATTTAGATCTCATGATTATGTTGGCCAAGGCAAAGATGAATCGAGTCATTGTCATTCTTTTTGAACTGAGTTTGAACAAGATGACCATGGTGGATTGTGGGGTAGATGCAAGCAACAATATATTGTTCAGGTGTGTTATTTACCTTTCTTAAAGAATCTAATTGCTCAACACTTGATGCCAGAATGTGCCCCACACCTTTACACTACCTTCAGCATCTTATGTGTAGAGAAACCAAAGTAGACCAAGGTTATTCTATCATCAGTATAAAAGATGTTGAATCACAGCTTACTGGAGGATGCCAAGTTTCCATACATTCATTGTCTACATTTTTGCACCAAACAATGAACATATGCCTTCCTATTTGAGTCTGAGAGAAGCAGTTGCTTTAGGTTTGATTGTTGTCTACCATCATGACCACAGTTATATTAATCAATGAAAAGGCACACAGTCTAGCATCTAACAAGCCTGTAAAGTTATCTTTAGTTCTTATCATGCCACCAGAAATTTGTATTCACGGGTCTTATTAGTTATGGCCTTTAAGTTTCTTCTGTAGATAGATTAACAACAAATGAAGAAAAAAAAATCATGGATAAGAACACTAGCCAATATCCTTCTGATAGGAGTAAAAATCCTTGCTAATTACTCAACATCTTGAGAAATAATGTTGGGCTTGGCTAATGCATCATAATATAAACAGAATGTTCTAAAAGGTTCATAATAAAGTGACCAGGAAGAACTGTTTAGGAAAATCAAAATTTGATGACGAGGAACCCACTTTGAGACTAATAATGGTTGGAGACGGCTTGAATTGTATAATATAATGTTAAATGTTGCGTTAAACTTATATTAAAGTTTTTCTTCATATGATGACGAAACGTTGGACATTTGCTGTTGCGTTAAACTTATATTAAAGTTTTTCTTCATATAATGACAAAACCTTGTCGAAACGTTGGACATTTGCTGTTGCGTTAAACTTATATTAAAGTTTTTCTTCATATGATGACAAAACGTTGGACATTTGCTGTTGCGTTAAACTTATATCAAAGTTTTTCTTCGTTATCCATTCAAGCCGTCTCCAACCACATTTAGGAATATGCTGTTTTTGATTCTAAGTCCAAATCATTTTTGTCCCAGTTAATACTTTATTTTATTTATTGCGTATGCCACTGTTTTTAACCTTAAAAGACAATTTTAAGAGAAACCGTGCTTTACAAACTCGGATTTTAGAAATAAATAGGTGCTCAAAATTTTTCACAAGCTAAAATTAATGTGATCTAAGAGTGATGATGTATTTGAAATATACGAACAAACTAGGAAAGAATAATTATAATGAATTAAACATTCAGTAATTTATTTGAGATAAAAGGTGAAAGAGAGAACATAATATTACTAAATGACATAAGTAAAGCACGGAGTAAAATCTTCACTTTCATGTCCAGCGTTTGGTTTTTAATTGTTGAACTTATTTTTAAAAGAGAAAGTAGGAAAATGGAGATGCAGCTGTGTTGGCTATAATATTACTTGTGTAAATTATTTCTTATCTGTTTCTGAATATAATAGGGTTATTTTATCTTGGCAAGTCCTGTGTTTGGGAAGATTTTTTACCATGTTCAGCAAATCTGAATAATTTAGATTCGGGTGACAAAGAACTAACCTGATTTCTGGCCAGAACCAAGAAACTCCTTGTGGTATTTAAAACTATATGAAATAAATTTTAAGTTCTTGTGAAAGGGAACAATTAAAAAAAGAGTGGATTGGGTAAATATTTAGCTTATTATATGTCTTTGTTGTATATTGGAGGTTCATTGTAGTGAAATTGATTTAGAATAAATTACTCCTTTTTTAATACGTTGTGATATAGTTGTACATTTTAAGACTTAAGGTATATAGGAGAGATGGGCAATTGAAGGAGCAACAGTGCTTGAAGATTGTTTGTATGTACTTTTGTGGTAGGAACACCCACAATATGATCATACTGCTGTATTGGATGATATAGTGATGTTTTTTGGTTAAAAATCTTGTTAATTATTTTATTTAATGACACATGAACACAGCCAAGTTAAAAATTGAAAGATCCTTCCAGGCAAGAATATTACTTTGATAACTAATTTTTATATGTTCAGAGTTACTATCTCACTTTATAACATTTGTTACGTTATGTTTTATACGTCTGTCGTATTGCATACAATAAGGATAAAGGCTATAAAAGATGTATCTTGCTGGTTCAAACAAATATGACCAATGACGAAAACCTTTCTAAATGTGCTCGTGTTATAGAATACCATTAGATTGTATTCAAAGGTATCTTAGTAGTTAAGTTGGGTACAGTCCAGATAGCATTTATCATGTGATATTTTAGCTTATGACCAGTAAGTATGTTTATAATCCTGTATCTTTAGAACTCTGTACTTTATTTCTCTCTATCTACACTTACTAAGCTTGCAAGGAGTTTGTTTGGAAAAAAAACAGAACATTCAGGCTTCATTCTTATGGTACTCTTCTTTTTAGTTTATACTAAAGGTATCTTCTTTATAATACACTCGCACCTAGCAATGATTTATTCCATAAGCATGTTAGTAATGACAGTCACTCTTGTTGTTAGTTAAAAGGAAAGATTTGTTTCTGAAAATAATCAAACAGACAGCAAACTTGCTTTGTACGTCCTTATAAAAAGTGGTGCTGGGAATGGTTGGACAAATTAGATAGCAGTTTTTTTCTTTATGTGTTTGAGAATTGTTTTCCAACAACTAAGCTGTTTTTTTATCACTTAATTATTCCTTTGAATTGTTCCATTAAATGAATTAAAAATTAATAGTCCAGACATATTGTTGAATTTTTACGTATTGTATGTTAGTGATATTTCTAAGATCACTAGGGTCTATATTAAATAGAACAGTAGCAAAGACAGATCTATCATATAAATAACATCATGCAGTTGCCGTTAGTCAGCTAAATAACATGCAGTTGCCGTTATGTTTGTTTTCAAAATGTGTAGTAATACTATGCCGATCTTCTGTAAAATAAGTAAATTGATAATTAAATAATAAAAACATATTTTGCTATCATCGATAAGAGTAATAATGTTTTTAGTTGAATCCTATCACAATTGCAATTAGTAATGATTAAGTAGCCAGACAGCCAGTTTGTTTACGTATGTACACTGTCTGAATAAGATAATGATAAAAATAATAGTATATCTATTAAAAAGTATAAAGCTGTAAGCAATCTCCAGGCACGGGACTTCTTTGTTACATACTGTTTATTTACGTTACAGTGTTTAACCGCAAAAATCACCCCATCTCCTCATTATAAAAAATGCTTCAAACCAATCCAGATCTATTTTGGGAGGACTGTCTCATACTAACTTCCCATCTTGTGTAAAATTTATGTACATCGGTCTATCAGTTTGAAATATGCACACACAAATATACACAAACTGTAATACCCTCGTGGGGCAAGGGTAATGAAAAATTTAGTGGAGCAGGTTTGACCTTCTTGGTTCCCTCCCTTAGATCTGTACCTGCTTATACAACACTGAATAATACCATTAATAATTTCTGAAAACAACTGAGAGAATTTGGATTCCCAAGACCCCCCCCCTCCTATATCTTGTACAATGTTAAAACATACAGTAATTCATTTCTATAAATAATATATGGGGGGAGGGGTCAAGTCTCCTTGGACCCTTCCCTAGATTTACGTTTGCTTATAAAATATTAAATAGTTATATGATTGTAAGTTAGAAACATAACATAGTGTAAAAAATAAAAACAATAAATTTAACACTTTAGTAGACAGAAGGTTGGTGGTGATGCTGTCAGCCAGCAGTTCAAAGTTAGAGACAGTAGCAGATATGCTTATTTGCTTTGCAATAAGAAAGATAGGAAAAACAAGTTCAGTGGCACTGGGAACTGAACCCAAGATCTTCAAATTACAAGGTTATCCCCATTAGGGTTGAAAATTGATGAAATGGCTGCTCGTGGGTGATTGTATCAATTAATTAAATGAACGAGCTCTATATGTGGGTATATGCTGCAATCTGTGGAGGGAATATGGTGTCAGATTTACTTTAAAAAACAGGTATACCTAGATGGATTATGGAAAGCCCATAGGAAGAAGTGGTGTGCTTTGTACATGATGGCCTAATAATGGAAAGATGTGGTGCAAGGTTATTGTGAAGATGCACAGTCAGCACGACCAGACATGATGAGATTCTAAAGTAGTTTTAATATAACATATCAACCTCTGTATCCAATGACAGGTTCATAGGCCTTTGTTAATTAAAACTACTTGTGTCTATCATACTGTTACATTCTTAATAATGTGATGCATGTATGTTTTTAATGTATTAATAAAATTAGTAAATGTCTATAAAGACGTGTACATCATGATTCCTAACTCAAAGATATGCTTTAAAATTTTAGTACTGGTAATTAATTATAACCAGTATGGCTCGGAAAATCTGCTATCTGTTATGGGGGTGTGTGTAAACAATTTAGTACAGTACATCATTATACTACGCAGTTTTTGTTTTGCCAAACTCTGCTGTCAGTGTTTCTTAACTTCTACCATGATGTATACTTGTATTTTACTCATTTTCATGAAATTTCTCAACTTTAGATCCTATGAGCTTGGTTTAATTGAAGTGGATACATATGGGTGGGTGTGTAAACAATTTAGTACAGTACATCATTATACTATGCAGTTTTTGTTTTGCCAAACTCTGCTGTCAGTGTTTCTTAACTTCTACCATGATGTATACTTGTATTTTACTCATTTTCATGAAATTTCTCAACTTTAGATCCTATGAGCTTGGTTTAATTGAAGTGGATACATCCAAAATCTTCCAATAATAGATTAGGTTTGAAAGCGGTGAACTTTCACACCAAGCACAGTTGTACTGAATGGTTACAACTGTTTTAGAAAGTAGCAAGAGGATGTTTAAAATACTTAAATTATTTTTGGAAATTAAATTTCAGTGCTAAAGCAAGATTTTTAAATCTGAAAACTTTTGTTTATGGGTTTCATGTTATCCTTCTGAAGGGACTGTCAGATAACCTGAGAGTTTCTAATGTATGCTTCAGACCCGGAGAAACTATAATACTCACAAATATGTACATCCCTCAACAAGCAGTGGGGTTGAAGAGAAGCAGAAAAAAGCTTTTGAACACCCCTGGTTGTCCTCAAACACGTAACCAAAATTACCACCCAGAGTATAAGTATACCTGAGAGTTATTTCTGGCCAATTCATTCCAGGAATGGCATGTAACTAATGAATTCGAATAAATTATTGTACTAATATTTTTACATTAAACAGGATAACAATGTGTAGTTCATTCATCAATTTTACTTACATGATAATCACATATACAACACTTCAGATTTTCCTATATGTAGTAAACATTAGCTGCGACAAGATAATGTACTATTTTTACATGATATGGTCAATAATAGTCTTGTGATGTTTGTACAAAGAAAATATTTGCAACAATGACACTTACTTATGTTGCCAGTTTTAACTTTTTTTAAGTTAAAACAGAAATATTCTAAGGAGTACTGGGGAAATTATGTCAAAAGTTTCTCAAAATATCTTTAAAGAATTACTGCTTCTAACAGATTTACTAAGAAACTTTACATATATTACCTCAAAAGTTAATAAACGTAGCAAAAAATGTAACAAATATGCTGTTGACTGATAGTCTCTATTGCTATTTTACATACAATAATCTTTAAAATTTAGAAACTTTTCAAGAAACATATAACAAATTTAAATTCTGAGTAAGATATTTTCACTAACTGTTAATTTTGTAAGATTATTTTTACCAAAAACTGTGAAAGTCATACAGGTTTATAAGTAAACCACTCAGAAAACCTTTGCAAAATTTGCTTGGCCAGTTGTTTTTCCTCGGGGGTTGAACACTCTCCAGATAACCCATTCTCAAGAATTTTTTGGAGGTTTTCTCTTTGGTGAAAGTGAGTCTCGTAATCACAGTGACAAATAACATTTTCAGCCAAAGCTAGGTATGTTAGACGACGCTAGGAAGAGAAAAAAAAGGTCATTATTGGTCAGGAAATTAGGTTATTTCACTGGGGGGGTAAATTACATACAATATAATTTTTGATAAATGTACATATCATTTGTAAATTGTTTTACCAGTAAAAATAAACACATTAAAATAATTAATCCGTGTCTGGCATTAGTTTTGATACACTCGACGGAGCTCGCATGCACACCCTACATTTGAATGTGATTCACTTTCATGAATCATGCTATACATGATTTGTATAGATTGAAAACAACTGCTAGCTAGTTTTAATCGCTTGAATGAGAACAGGATTATCTTATTAAGATAATCCTGTTCTCATTCAAGCGATTGAAACTAGTTAGCAGTTGTTTTCAATCTATACAAATCATGTATAGCATGATTCATGAAAGTGAATCACATTCAAATGTAGGCATGATTTTTTTAAATGTTAGAAAAAAGTGAGATTTCTTGATTTCTCTACTGCAAACAAACGTTTTTGCTGCCATTAGTCCTGACCAATATAGAGTCCTGTTATTATACAAAGGTCTCATGTGAAGTGACGTGTAGTAAACAACATATATGTCCTTCCAAGTGTTTTTTTTTTTAACATCTCTAATTTGAGAGAAATAAAATTATTATATTTAGCATATCTATTGACCTTCCTTGGGTATTGTAAACTGTTTTCTACATTATGTTTTTCTCATTAAATATTTATTGTTGCCTTTTTTAGAACAAGGGTTTCCAATGGAGACAGTAGCAACAAATATAGAAAATATTCTAATGGAAAAAAAATTGTGTGAAATATTAAACATCAAATTTGAAAATATTAGTTAAATATGTTGTTTGTAATGAAACTAAAACCTGAGAGGCCTGTCAGGAAGTAAAATATTCTGGGTGCCTTATGCTGAGAAAGTTTGGGAGTTTAATGATACAACTTGATCAATGAATACTATCTCTTAAGACTAAGTAAACACCATTTTTTATTCAAAGGTGATCACAACGACTTTTTTTCTAATAATGAGAGTACCTAATTGATGAAAATCAATGCATTCTAACAATTATAAGCAAGAATGTTATGTCACAATTGCTATATTCATTACTGGATTAATTTTTAGTTTTGAACAATATAGGCAGCTTGCTTTGATCAGAAGTTAACAATAATTTCAGTCTATTAGAGCTTTTAAATAAAACTTGAGACCCTTTGGAATCTGTACATAGGAAATACCTTGTCTCCTGGGGTCAAGTCCATCAGCTGGCGAGTAATGATGTCGAGTAAAACTTTGGTATCATTCAGGTAAAAAAGACTTGCTGTTGTCGGGTTTCCAAATATATCAAGAAGCATTTTGAGAGTCGAGTTTGGGACATTTCCTCTATTTTGTAAAATATTAACTGGATCATCTGCAGTAGAAAAGTGAGTTTTGTTGTAGTATAGAATACGAGCTTGATGATCAAAAATATAGTATTACCTCTTAAGATATACTAACAGAAGAAGTGTATTATTAATAAACAACATTATTATGATATACAACATTGTTTATTAACAAAAAGGGGACATAGATAAACGTCTCAGAATTCTATCAGATTCCATCTTCAGTATCTAAAGCAAAATAAAATGAATTTAAACAAGTCTTTGGACATCGCTAAAGTACAAATGGTGAAGTTAACGATAATTAAACAAATGAAACACAAAACAGTAATCATGAGCAGAAATTTATAACTGTTTTCATTTTAGAAAAATGGACTCAACTGATTATTTTAATAATTTCATTTGGAAAGTTAAATTTTGCAATATAGGAACCAATACAAACATTACACATCGAGTCACAATATGGGAACCAATACAAACATTACACATCAAGTCACAATATAGGAACCAATACAAACATTACACATCGAGTCACAATATGGGAACCAATACAAACATTACACATCAAGTCACAATATAGGAACCAATACAAACATTACACATCGAGTCACAATATAGTAACCAATACAAACATTACACATCAAGTCACAACATGGGAACCAATACAAACATTACACATCGAGTCACAATATAGGAACCAATACAAACATTACACATCGAGTCACAACATGGGAACGAATACAAACATTACACATCGAGTCACAATATAGGAACCAATACAAACATTACACATCGAGTCACAACATGGGAACGAATACAAACATTACACATCGAGTCACAATATAGGAACCAATACAAACATT